CGCAGCGAGTACAGCCTAGTCTGCTTCTTCGATTTATCTAAAGCCTTTGATACTGTGTGGCACCGTGGGCTGATGGCTAAGATAGCATCATTCTCGATTCAAGGACGCATACTGCGGTGGCTGGAGAGTTACCTGTGTGGTCGCTCACAGCAAGTGAGTATCTCGGGTCAATTGTCCCAACCTGAATGCGTGTGTTCTGGTGTCCCCCAGGGATCAATTCTGGGGCCCCTGCTTTTTCTAATATATGTGAATGATATCGGTGCAATTCCCAACACCTCGCTATATGCGGACGACACCACTCTGCTGGCTAGTCACCGGTCGCTCCCCGTCGCGTGTCAAGACCTGCAGGTAGGAATAGACTGTGTGGTCAAGTGGATGCGAAGGTGGAAACTCCGGCCGAACTCCGCCAAGACCGAAATCATGTGTGTCGTCCCCAACGCGTCATCAGATGTTGCACATCTTCAAACTTCTATTTTCCATTTCCCAGATGATCCTACCCCGATACCTATAACCTCTCGTCACAAGCACCTTGGCATTACACTTGATAGCAAATTGGACTGGTCCCACCATTTCCGGAATCTGGAAAAGCGGGCAAGCTCAGTCGTCGGTATTCTTTATGGCCATCTCCCCCACATTTCACCAGAATGCCGAAAGACCTTTTATCATACATACGTTTTGCCTATTTTCTTGTATTGCTGTGTGGTGTGGTGTGGCGCTGGTAATGGCCTCTTTGCAAAGCTGGAGATTGTGCATCGACGAATTCTCCGGGCAATACTTCGTTTGCCGCCCGAGACCAACATAGCCGTTCTCTATGAAAATTGCTGTACATTTCCTCTGAAACATTACATTGACCGATCCTCCTGCGTATACATTCACAAAATCAAACTTATCACTGCCCCTCAGCATGTGCAGCATTCCTTAAACTGGTTCAATGAATCCTCAACAAGCCGGAACTCGCTTCGTTTCCCGATTGCAAGAAACAATTCTATGAGCAAATCGCCTGTATTCCTAGCATACCAATTATGGGATTCTCTTCCTCAGCAATTAAAGTCCAGCAACACCCTCAATGCGTTTTTAAGCTTGATAAATATACACGTACGTCGATCTTCATTTACTAATCATTGATTTCAATTCTCTTTGTGTATTACTTCAAGCTCCAAAGTAAATCACATATGCTACCTGTACAATTCATTTGGGTTTTGGATTGATTTACTTTTATTTCATTTTTATTTTCATTTAACTTGCCATATTTTGCGTGTGCATTTTTGCCTTCTTGTTCTTTTATTCCATGGCTGGTAGCCCTCATTCATAATATTGGTTGACACCATGTCATCCATGAATTGAGAATAATAATAATAATAATAATAATAATAATAATAATAAATGGTTACCGTTATGGCACTTGAAATTTGGCTATTGTAGCGATGCAATGTTAGTAATATCTGGAGGTGATGGCCATTGTTTTTCTCGATATAGCCATGCCTCTGTGTGTGATGATGATTATAAGCAGTCTGGGCTACTGGGGTGAGGGAATGTTGGCATGGTGATGGTTTATTCCTAGTTCCATTGTGTAAACTGTACCAGCGCTCGCTTTTGGTACCTAAACTCAATCGTATTTTGGGCCCATTTCGAGGTGATCGTCAGTTTCAACGTGTCCGTAAGTTGTGCAACAAATCTTTTTGCATGGTTCTTCTAGAAACCTAACTGCAAAACCTGAGCGAAACTGGATAGATTGCGCAGCACAGCTTTCAAGGCGAAGTCCTGTTGGGTCCAGAACGTTTACTTGCCACAATCATCAGTGACATGCTTTGACTAATTGGAAAGTAGAGAACAACCTAAGGATACGTATACTTTCGGAATACAAAAGAGAGGAATAGTTTCCGTTACAGTTTTGTTTATTTACAGATTTTGCTGAGGTAAATGGATACCTATCATGCAAGTCTCACCAAACCAATCAAACAATAAAAAATAAATTATGTATGGAGTGCGTGTAAGTCAAAGGAGAGGAAGAACATCGATAGATTCAGAACCAGGGGTGCTAATAGAACACTGGAAAGGCACTGAACTAAAATTAATATCTGCAGTAGCGGATGTTGACAAAAATATGGTGGTAAAGACACACCTGGCAAAATGGCGGTAAACACACGCCTGCCCACACACGCTCTCTCAGCTGCAAAGTTCTGGCACAGAGCTCTCCTTCTCACCACCCCAACCATCAGTTCGCGCCTGGCACCTAGTCGATGCATGGTTGACAGTATCCGATATAGCAGGCTGGTACATCAAGTAGCGCACAGCACATAGAAGATGACACAGCCAAGACATAGTTCGATTGCGACGTACGTTTCGTCCCCGCTGTACTCATCAGGCAATTTTCTTCTTGGATGTCTTCATACGGAGTTTGACTCGGGAGAATGAAGTTGAAGACACCACTGCGGCTGTGCTTATGGTTGATAACTATGGTGGTAAAAACACACCTGGCAATATGGCGGTAAACACACGCCTGCCCACACAAGCTCTCTCTCAGCTTCAAAGTTCTGGCACAGAGCTCTCCTTCTCACCACCACCACCATCAGTTCGGGCCTGGCACTTAGTCGATGCATGGTTGGCGGTATCCGACATAGCAGGCTGGTACATCAAGTAGCGCAAGGCACATAGAAGATGACATAGCAACGACATAGCTCGATTGCGACAAGAAGAAGATTGCCTGATGAGTCCAGCGGGGTGAAACGTACGGCGCAATCGAGCTATGTCGTTGCTGTGTCATCTTCTATGTACCATGCGCTAGTTGATGTACCAGCCTGCTATGTCGGATACCGGCAACCATGCATCGACCAGGTGCCAGGCGCGAACTGATGGTGGTGGTGGTGAGAAGGAGAGCTCTGTGCCAGAACTTTGCAGCTTAGAGAGCGTGTGTGGGCAGGCGTGTGTTTACCGCCACATTGCCAGGTGTGTCTTTACCACCATATTTATCAACCATAAGCACAGCTGCAGTGGTGTCTTGAACTTCATTCTGCAGTAGCGTATGTAGACTATATTGTTCAACACGTGAAACTAGGTATGCCGAAAACTTAGAAGCGGTAAACCTCATGAAACGTCCTTACCTGGCGATCAAAAAGCGTGGGACTGTCGAGTGAACGTATCTCAGCAGGAAGTTTATTCCAAGCAAAAGAGATCAGGAAACGGAAGGATTTAGCGAAGTAACTTTCAGTCGGTGAAAGATCAAGAGACTTGGGGTGTCGGGAAGATGATGAAAATCGAAATTTGAAATCAAAGAGAACAGAAGGAAATGTGTCGACAATGTTGTGAATAGATATAATGAAAGTACCAAAACACAGCGAAAATAATTTGATAAGCGACGATGAGACGACAGCCGTAAAATAGCAATGAATATGTATGTATGTATTCTTTATTTTACTCCGCAAAGTCAAACGGGATCGTTGCCCAATAATATGATAGCGAAGAAATATTATACAGTGCTGGCAACTGAAATCCGACCCCTGAGCAGTGCGGTGTGCTCACATCGCAAAGACCCAACACGGGATGCGAAGCAGAGACCGCTGGAATGTGAACCCACCGCTCAGGGGTCGGATTTCAGTTTCCAGCACTGTATATAACTAATTTTTGCACTCATATCCATGTGTAAAACAAATTTTAAATGGAAAAAAGTCCAGAACGTTTTCTCGCGACTATCATCAGTGGAACATCGTCACATAGTAAGAATCACCAAATCAACCAGTTACATGCAATACTTAGAGTAAAAATATTATCACACGAAATGTAGTAATGTAGCAGCTCGTGTTTGCAAGTAACTTCATTTATGCGGATAGTGAGAACTTAGGCAATGAATTTGACAATGGTAGCGGCAGATAGATGTGGGAGGTGTATGTGCGTGCGTCAACAAAAATGTTGAGTGCGTATTTTTTGAAGAGTGTCATTTTCATTCTGCTTACATATCACAGGGTAACGTGTACAAATATGGACAGCTTCCAACACCTCCAACTGCTTAAAAGAGAAATGTGCGGAACAAATAACACTAAACCAGGAATCGTGAGGAAACTTACGACATTCCAGACTGGACATCAAATGCTTGTAGATGGCATGCATTGCAGACTTCCTCTAGTCGACATCCAACACTTCCTCGTCAGCACCACTATCATCCTTCACCTACGGACCTTCCCCTCCCATGCTGTCCTCCTGACCATCCTGTTCTTCCCCACCATCATTCGTCTCCATGTCCTCCCACCACCGTTTCTTTCTCCTTGACCCGTTATTCGCTGCGCCTGTACCCTCACCCGCATTTCCTGGTCCCACTTTCTACATTTGTCCTAGACGTGCCTCCGCTAGTCTTTGGCTTCTCCACAGATCCGTTTTGCTTTCGGTTCGTTCTCCTGGTGATCTTCCCCTTACCACAGTAGGGTTTGCTAATATGAGCGATCGTGCGGCGGTCTACCAAGACCGGCATGCAACATAGTATGGAGGAGGGCAACGTCCATACTGACCTGTGGATGTGCGAGCAAGCCCTGGGAATTCCACTGCAATTTTCTCTCCAGGCACAGTCTTCTAACATCTGATTTCGGTCAAGTTAAAATACTAATTGTGTACGATTACATGGCTAGATTTCAGCGTGCATGCAGATACGAGTTACATTTACTGTACTCCATTGGACAAAACATCGCACGCAGACTCTGGATTCACAATGCCCATTTCTTTCATGTTTTATTTCCGGAGGAAAAAAGAAAGCCTGGGATAAATTAGTTCAGTGGAGTTGAAATGGGAAGCATCTTACAAAATTGACTGGCGCTACTGTTGAACTCGGCCGAGAACATAACCCTTGCAGCTGGGCATTGATGATTCAGGAAGGATATCATCAGATTAACTTTTACTGTAGGACTCTTTCCAGACCCCTTGCAGCTGGGCAGTCATAATCTAACTCTAGCGAATGGTGTAGTGAGCGTCAAAGCAGCGAAAAATTGCGACCTTTCAGCACAACAACGTTCTCGTCAGATTTAAATGTTTAATGTGTGTAGGAGAAAAAGAACAAAGTGGACATGCCCATTGAATCATAAAAGGGAGATACCGTGCATTTGTTGGGGGCAGTTATGCCCCCAAACTGATGCGCATCGTACGGCAAGTAAAAAGATGGAACTGCTGCTATAAATTTGGATATTACAAACAGAGAGCCTGGTGTGTACAAGTCGATGCAATGAACGTTGAATGCAGCTCGTTGGAAATAGGTAACAACCAAAGCAATGTGTTTAAGTGTTCAAATGTACTTGTAGAAATAACACAATGGCAAGTGTTTTCATATCCTATAATCAGGAAGGAACACCCACGAAATGGAAAGTAGCATCCAGGCAAAATTTGACCCCTGGCATGGGTTTCGACAGATGAAAACAACTGGGCGTAAGGATACCCGAACTTGCAAATAAATGCTAGCAGATTGCATATTATGTGGCCAAAGCATGCAGTCCGATGAAAGTCTAGGAGCAAGGTTATAGATGGAGCGCGCAAAAAAATGAGAGACTGAAAAGTAGAATGAATGGAAATCAAACTCGGATACTGAACCAGTAATAAAATGTATAAAAAAAAGAGAAGAACCACATGAGAACGAATTAAGCAGCAACTATCCACGACTGTAACAAGATGTGAATGGAAAGCCGAAAGTGTTTGTGATGAAACTTATTGCTAGATCATGTGTGATCACGTGTCAAACAAAAAGAGGACTGGGTTACTGTGAATGTTCGTGAGGTGGGTGTTGTCTGAACGCGGCTTCGGGGCTTAATTACCTTCACATCGCACTGGTGTAACCATAACAACAATGGGGCCTAATTGGCCGGTTTCTTTTTCTTCTTCTTCATGTCGACCATGGCGTACATATCTTCATCAGCCTGCTCATCGTCCGACTGTGGGAAGGACGTGTATGGATCGGTGGTGGGCGTGCGGGGCTCTGTAAATGGAACACGGTCGTCATCCTGCACCAGGTGGGATAGCTTGGGTGCTGCCTTCTGTTTGTCCAGTTTCGATGCATCGACTGCGGCATATGCGTACTGATCAAAGTCTCCTTTAGGTTGAACTTCTGACGTTGGTCTCGGCTTTGGATCGTCGACACAACTGTACACATCTGTCTCATCGGTCATTGGTAGATCCGGCTGCTTCGTAACTGGCTTGGGCGCTTCTTTGGCAGCGGGCGTCCTCACCACGACGTCGGCAATGTCAGAATACACCTCAGGTCCAGTTCCCGTGTCCCCTTGCTGATCGCCGTCGTTGCTGGTCTCAGCGCTGCACGAGTCACCGATTGTTACGTATTGATCCCCTCCGAGACTTGCTACTGACTTGCTGGCCTTGCTGGAAGCTTCCGCCCCACGCAGAACTTCCCGTGAAGCTCCCGAGTTATCCATGATTGTTGCAAGGCCTGTTGTACGAGGGCGCATTACCAAATAGATGACCAGGATCAGTAGAACAACAAGGACCGCGCCAAGCACTCCGATGATGGCGACATACACAGTGCTATTGGAAGACTTGCAGGTAGTCGTTGTATCACTGGTAGGCGTTGATTCTGCCATAGACACAAGAGGAGCAGAGATAAAGACAGCATTACTTATCTACGAAGCACGACTGACGTACGCATCCAATGCATTCTTCCCGTCACTGACACAGCAGCTGCACAGTCGTCTAATCAAATCGAGCCAATCCGACATTCGTGCAATTTTCCGACTGTGCAGCCGTGCATTCACAGCTCCCTCCCTTATCTATTCGATCCCTATCTGACATTTTTCACTGCAAGGTTATGTTTTTGTTTTGTTTTTCGTAGCCTACATGATCTTGCAAGTCCTCTTTTCTGCACATACGTTCAGATAACAGCTAATACAGGCAACACATCTCGGGATGATTGCAAAATTACTCAACGAGAGGAAAAGCGGCTATCTCAAGTGCGTTTCGTTTCTGGACATTTTGGTCGTCAGTCTTTGACCCGGTGATATTCGGTGAGTCATTGACCCGGTTATTATTAGCCTCCCCAGGTTGGTTTGTGCCTTTAAACTGGCTCTGAACAGAATTAATTGCAATTGGTGACCAGTGTTAAACGCGCTCCTTCTTGCTCGGCATCCCTTCCTCCATGGGTTCCACTTTGCTCATCTTCACTATAAAAAGCAGTGTGCATGCAACATCCCGCCTCCGCCCCTATTCATCATACACATTACTGTTTGTGAACTCTATGCCCGATGCACTGCTTAGTACTTACACATGCACACGCCCATGACTTCGGATAACTTCGACGTGATAGCCAAGGTTCTCCTTGAAACGTAGATGTTTTGTTTATGAAAATCGGCGTAGAAACACCAGAGATATACTTTTTTTAGTGCCACTGTATAAGCAACGAGCGAAATCGCTCGTTGAGCGCACAAAGGGTTAATTAATTATGCTTTTGAATTCTCATGTTATGATTCTTTTTATTATTTCCTACTCTCGTAATTTTATAATAGCTATAAAGAGAACAAATTCTGCTGTCATCGCCACACTACAATAAAGTCATGAAGGTTTACCAAAATCGATTTTCTTGTCACAATCATCAGTGGAAAGCCGTGACTGAAGAATAACCATGCCAAATCAATAATTTATATACATTCAATAATGTGTTACGAAAAGGTAACCTCTCATTATCCATGAGTCGCGTGGTCCGCAAAATTGTACAACAAACGTACTACGCGGTACATTTTGTACCGGTTTTCACAACTGTACGTGCGTTCACGGTGAGGAAGGATGTCCTACCAACCCAACTCGCATCTAAATTGGTATACCAATTTGAGTGCCGACAATGCGGTAGTCAGTAGGTTGGTAGGACTCTTCAACATCTGAACGCACGTATCAAGCAGCACGTCCCACTGCACATGCTGACTGGCTCGGCACGGGCACTGCGACCCAAACGCGGCAGGCCACCTAAGAACCCTCGATCAGAGCCATCGTTAGCACAATTACCGTCGACGGCAATAGTGCCTCCATTACCCGCATCGAGAGCCGTGGAGATGGATAATGTGCACATTGTCACTAACGTTATAACACAATGCACCATAACAACACAAGAAAGTACACCACAACAACATCCAGCTCAAGACCAAAGTGGACGCTGCGGCGAGGTGATCATGGTGATGCCCCCATCGCCATCGTTGCCGTTGCCTCCCCCAGAACCGCCACCTGCATCTGCCATCGGCAGTGCTGGGGCTGAGTCTGTGGTGTCGCTGGAACGGGCAAATATGGATGAGGTAAGCACTGAACATGAACAAGAAGAAAGAAGGCTGAAGGAAACGGAATTCAACAGAGAAAACAACACGATCAACATTCAAAGACCTAGACGATCAACGGCTAATTATTCAATGAATTATTACAGTACTGGATGTCAAGCACCGGCGAAGACACTGGGAACAGAAGATTTAGCAACAACAGGAACAACAATAATGACAACAACAACAATGGTAACAAATTACCATCAAGATCAAAGGAGGAGTCAACGAACAGAGGTTCAGCAACGTGAAGCGAGCCTGGGACCGATCGGTGGTGATGAGGAGAATGACACGGAGGACGACACTGAGGATGAGTTGGAAGATGAGACGGGGGACGAGGTTGCGGTTGGTGGAGACGAGGAATCGGATGGTGATTGTGATCGTAAGAAGTCCGCCGTTTTTCTTCATCTGTTGTCTCACCCTAAGTGTCTGCAGGTGTATGATGATTTTAGTTTTTCTGTTCTTTGTCGTGCACGGTACGCTAGTCAGTTGAAAGTACTTGAGGCTGTTTGTATTCGGTTGCATAAGCCTGATCTTTGTAAGCAGAAGAAACATGTAGTTGCGTTAAGATTGTTTTCGTAGGTGCACAGCATGATTGTTTGTCTCACTACATAGTTCTAGCGTTGCAATTAGTTCCTCACCCCTGTTGCACTTAGCTCTCACTTTACTTCTATTGTCTCACCTTCCCTCATTCTATTTTTAGCACTTTGTTTTGTTCTCGTAACACATTATTGAATGTATATAAATTATTGATTTGGCATGGTTATTCTTCAGTCACGGCTTTCCACTGATGATTGTGACAAGAAAATCGATTTTGGTAAACCTTCATGACTTTGTTGTAGTGTGGCGATGACAGCAGAATTTGTTCTCTTTATAGCTATTATAAAATTGTTGTCTCCGCGTCGATTATTTACATACTCTCGTAATAATTATATTATTGCTCCTTGGTGGGAACCCGAGGTTTTTTCCTCTGGGGATAATGCAGAATTACTTGTGATTTAAACGAATTCAAATAACCGAAACATAGAAGCAAGCAAAGAAACAAACAAACCTTTGCAAGTCTGACCATTATCGGTCCAGGTGCCATTCGCATTACAGGTGATGGTTCTGTTGCCATGGAGTTCATACGTGGAGTTACAGATGATAATTGCCATGGTTCCAAATGTTGGCGTGATGTGCCCAACCAACACTGAGCCACTCTGCACAGTTGGCGTACCTTTGCACCGCACGGCTGAAACAGAGCAGAAATTCAAGTGCCTTTTACGAGTATTTGCAAAACTTTCTACACAATCAAACCCACTCTTTTCGACATTTTTCGGCCGGTCGATTTTAGAAAATGCCTACTGGACAGGCTACAAAAATAATACCATCAAGACAACACTTCTATTTCCAAGTTATTATTTTGTGGTATTCTCTAGCTTCTGTTTGTTTTGCAGTTGTTCTTGTGCAACCCCCCCCCCCCACACACACACACATTTTTCGATGCCTAGTTTCAACGCTGACGCCGAGACCTCTGGTTGGTTGAGTTGCTCCAAGCACATCATTCAATTTCGCTGATTTTGTCGCTCAGTACCAACTGGCCAAAGTAAATCGCTGGCCAAAATTTGACATAGAGGCAAAAAATGCATGGATGCATGTGGGAGCGCCAACTACTGATCGATTTCTGATTGATTTCTTTTTTGAAAACCCTAATCGGCCAAATTTGAGTTAGGGCCAAAAGTTTCATTTCAGATCGGCCAAAGCTTCTCACCGGCCAAGATTTATTGATTTTCAGTATTTGCATAAAGGAGTCAGCGCTCTGAATGCATGCAATGTCAACTACAAACAGGGCTTTTGATGACTATTCTCTATATTAGGAATCATGTCATTTCGTTGCTCGAAAGGGCTCCAGCGCGCGTACTAAGCCTCAGCCAACTTAGCCAAGGCCCAGCACTTACCAAGCATGCGTGATACAAGTGTAATTATAGCAATACAAACTTGACAATATAAGTTTAGATTAAAACGTGTAGTGCGCCCACATGCATTCATTCATGCGAAAGAGGACCACGAGGGGAACAGGTCTTCTCGATTTTCATCCTGTGTGTGATTATTGTGAGGTTTTACGTGAACTACGATAGTTTTACGATAGTGCGGGTTCGAATCCCAGGTTATGTCTTAAAAAAAAGGAATTTTAAAGAATTTATAACATCCCTATGCTATTTTTTTGTCTAGGTCATCAAGGCAAAAAAGCATGGCGTAGGGCCCTGAGCTTCTAAGCTCTCTCGTAACATGATATTGGAGTTCGGTAGGATGTTGGCGTTTCGGTTTGTCACAATTCGTCTTCGCCTAGCTTCCCCTTCTATGTTTATTACATAAACCTGGCCTCCCAAGATGGGTTGTCTGTACCTTTGCATCGTCGAGTTGTTGTAAGGCCGGTATGTCCAATAGTCATACTAGTTTCGTCATCATTCAGTAACTTTCGGCATTCTTTGTTGCCATGATGCGTAGCTCGTGCTCTTCTTCTTTGCGCTTTCCTCCCCCTCTTGGACCTTTCCAAACCTGAGCCTTCCAAGTTGGAAGGTTGTTGGTTTGCGCCTTGGAGACGTGTTGGAGCTAGGTGTCAGGTCGCCGAATGTCTCAGTACTCTTTGTCAGTTTTGTGCCATTTGTCGCACTCGCTGACTGTATAAGATCTGGTTACGTTGGTGGACAGTTTGTCATAACTCGTAACACTTTTGTCCTTTTCCTTTCTTCATATAAAGCAGTTTTGATTGCTATAAATAATTGTTCATGTCCCTTAAGGTACGCCCTAAATGATGGCCTTTATCAGTGCGTATTGATTTGCCAGGCTTTTCTTGCAGAAAATGGCACTTGTATAATCATGCACGTCCGCGGGGAAAAATGTAGGTAGTAGTGGTGGTGATACTGTTTGTATTTGCATTCTGTGGCTGATGTCGCTGCAACATTTCAAGACTCTGTCATAAAATTGTCTTTCTATAGACATTTTTTGATTTACATGCCCACAAACTCATGGCAGATTTATTTCACAAAGGTTACCAGGTGCATGTCGTGGATGTTTTTGTTGATTTTTGTTTAGAATTGTAGTCATGGGTTGTCGTGATCAGGTCATCCTGCATCATATTGCGTTACAGAGCTAGCTTGAAATGTAAAATTCACGTTGATCCGTTCTGACTTCATTCTACATATCATTCCACGTTCGAAACCTACATTACGCTTGTATTCCTGTATTTAGATTTGACTCTGTAGGAAGGCCTTAGGCCTGTGGGGATTGCCCTATCAAAAATGTGATAATAATAATAATAATAATAATAATAATAATAATAATACCGAACAGTGGTTTCGACTTCGGCGATGATTTTTTCAGGATTGGGTTTGCTCCCACACTGGAGCTCGCGCTTTTCCGCCGACTTAACTTGACACTTGACTGTCCCACGACTGCCATCCAGAGAACACGAGAAGTCCATCGAACCTTCGACTCGGTAAACCTGCAAGAAAGCACCACTCCTTGCTCAATATACAGTGTTTCGGGGAATTCACCCCTCATCCGTTGAGCTTGAGTAGGCTGAGGAAGATTGTGCCTGAAGAGCACCACTTTTATAGTGCTCTCCAGGCACAAACATCACCAGGGATACAAATTTACAGAGATGCTCGGTTTCCAGCGCGACAAACACCTCGTGAACACCAGATAGCAGCGTGAGTCAGTGTCGCTCCTGGACGGTGAAAAAAGCCGTAGAGGATCCTGGGTCATTCACAACGCTGTCACCACAAAACCAGCTAGTCGCAGGCCTGCGCTGGGCACCACAGTACAAACTGGTGGTTGCGACTTCGGTGATGATTTTTTTATAAATCCTGTTCTCCTGTTCTCAGCCTCCAGGAGCGAAACTGACTCACGCTGCTATCTGGTGTTCACGAGGTATTTGTCGCGCTGGAAACGGAGCGTCTCTGTACTTTTTTATCCCTGGTGATGTTTATGTCTGGAGAGCACTATAAAAATAATTATAAGTGGTGCTCTTCAGGCACAATCTTCCTCAGCCTACTCAAGTTCAACGGATGAGGGGTGAATTCTCCGAAACACTGTATTGAGCAGGGAGTGGTGCTTTCTTGCAGGTTTGCCGAGTCGAAGGTAACATGGACTTCTCTTGTTCTCTGGATGGCAGTCGTGAGTCAGTCAAGTGTCAAGTCAAGTCGGCGGAAAAGCGCGAGCTTCAGTGTGGGAGCAAACCCATTCCTTAAAAAAATCATCGCCGAAGTCGCAACCACTATTTCGTACTGTTGTGCCCAGCGCGGGTTTGCAACTAGCTGATTTGGAGGTGACAGCGTTGTGAATTACCGGGGTCAAATCATAAGAAGCAACGCTTGAAGCCTCGGAGAATCTAACTCGTCACATACTTCTTTTCGCAAAAGAAGCCGACGATGAGCGGCAGTACTATAAAGACACCGTAGCAGATATGAAACAGCATCTGGCAGAAACAGAAGATGGCAGCATTCCAAAGAAGATGCATGTAACATTTGACTTTGCCCAACAGCTGGAGTAAACGGATCACACGAGACAAGTAGGCCCTATCTACTTCAAATCACGCTTCAAAGTTCAACTATTTGGCATAATGCAATGAAGCCAGGACTATGGAAGCTTACTACCTATTTCACGAGGGTGAATCTATTGGAATAGAAGAAACTAGGGCACACGGTCCCAACGCAGTTTTTACCATGCTACACTACTACTTTGACAAGTATTTCAAAGAAAGAGTAGTGCTTATGCATGCTGACAATTGCGCAAAACAGGAACAAGACCGTCGTGGCATATCGGTGCTGGAGAATTCTTCGCGGATAGTCTGATGGCATTACATTGTCTTTCATGCGTGTTGTATATATCCGCAGTAGCGTCGAAGCGAATTTCGGAAGGCTGAAGCAGTCCTTCCGAAAGTCAGAAGTTGACACGATGTCTGATGTAGTGACCGCTATTGACGAGACCTGTGAAGCTAAAGTTCCATTGTGCTACTGCTGGTCCTGGCAAAAATGGGACACATTTCTTGCCGAATTCTTAAAGCTCATTAAGGGTATTACCGGCTTCCAGCATTTCCATGAAACTAAATCCAAACCTGGAGTTGTTCTGATGAACAAAAGCTGTAAGGCCACTGACGTTGTGGAGCTCTGTCTACTACGACCTGGCAATACTGCAATTTCAGTTGCAAAATGGTGGTACGACTCTTCCAACTGGTGGCATCTCCGATACCAGGCGGGTCTATCTCCAGCGTAAAATAGAACAATATATCAGTCTGAAGGTGCACTGCCACCCTGTTATGCAGTTGAACCAGCCAGTGAGGGCAGTGACACCACTTAGAAACGGTAACAGTGCAAAACAGCCCATTGCTCCAACCATGTACATATTCTGTATTACACTCCATACACAAGGTTTCCTCCCCTCCCTCCTCTCTGATCCTCACATTCCCTACCCATTGGCAGCACACCCAAAAAATTCGAACAATAACGCAGTAATGCGATAATGTAACCTTGATGACCTAAGCAAAAAACCTTAGCTATGTATTTTTCATTTCCACAATTTTCTGAGACAATTGTGGGATTCGAACCCGGACTCTCGCCCTGCATGCATTCCCCGATACACTAAGTATATTAACACATTCAAGTCCAAGTTGCTTCACGCTTGACGTTGCAGCTGAAAGCCCTGTTAAATTTTGAATAGTGTGGCCAGCTGGCTTTGATGATACAGTACGGAACATGTCCGGGATAGCGCCAGGCATGCCGACATCGTCAGGCACAAACAAACCAACAGTTAGCATACACTACAATTCGCATTACATATCACATACACGAATGCGCTTAATGGTACGGTACGAGGTGAATAGCAATTTCTGGACATGATAATATAATAGAGCCCCACTGACTGTGTGTTTTACATTTTTCTTATATCTTTGTAATTATTGTATGGCCTAATCCTTCATCTTTCCAAATATGTGACAATTGCTCATGCTGTGATCCAAGAGACTTGATGGCAGAATGTCTTTTACAGGCCAATTTTTGGGCCTAAATTTCAGTGCATGGGATTCTGGACAGGAAAGTAAAATAGCGTCAATAGGCATCCTATACTGCACCATTTTTGTTATTTTTTCTATTGGTTGACTGCAATTGGCCTCTTCACACTTCTATCGAACAAGTCCATGACTATACTGCGTCTGAAGTGGAGTGC